TTCTAATGTGAAGTCAGGGTTTAGAACCCTTGATTTAACTTAAAATAATGAGATCTCCCATATCAATATTTAAGTACTACTTTGGGGGATTGACTGCCCTAGTTTGTCAGCAGACTGTCTTATTAGTCATGTGGTTCCTGATTTCCTTGGATTTCCAGGACTCAAGGTGAGTCCCAAATACATACTGCCTTTTTACTAAGCCTATAGACTTCTTGCTCTTGTAGTCTCACGATAAAATTTTCATCAGTAACACAGCAAAGCAGTCTTTTATTTTTCTTATTCTTCAGTCTGCACATCATCAGAACGACAGTTTTTTCTCAAGAAAGAAATTGGTTAGTTTTACCTACTGACTTTGGGTGGATGATACAGCCGAGATCGATAAATTGTATTGAATTGATAGTTGAGGGAGTCAGGGAGGTAAGTTTTTTATGGCTAAGTGCCTTCTCCATTTTAGGTACCAACTGTATGGTTCCACTTAATTCTCTCAGCAGTCCTAAGAAATAGATCTGCCACCTGTACATTAAAATATTAAATAACTTGACCAGGGTTTTGTGGCTAGTATGCCCAGAGCTGAATAGAACCCAGGTCTATTCCTATGTTCTTTCTATCTTTCTATCACAACTACTCCCCATCTTCTGTTATTTGGTTTTTGCAGAGCCTTGGAAATGTATTCATCAAAATACTTTTACCATTTTTTGGGAGGAAAAAATTTCCTTTACCCTTTAGAATTCCTCTGCCTGGCCTAACATGAGACATGAGATCACTTAACAAGAGACAAATAAAAGTTTAATGACATGTATTACCTCCTGTATAAATAGGAGAGACCCAGATAAAACTCATAAAACTGAGCAACTCCACAAAGAGGCCAAAGCCATCACCCTAAATACCATCTTCATCTAAAGACCAAAGAAGATGTTGGGGGCTAGGAGACAGTTATGACAGGTTGGGGAGAGAAAAGCACAGTAAACAAGGGCAAGGTTGTGATGCAGATTTAAGTCTTAACCTTCTCCTTTGATAAGAGTCTCTAGAACTCTTACAGAGGGAAATACCCCTACAAGAGGAAATTTCCCTTGTAAATGTAAATGAATTTTACAAAAGGGTAATTTCTATTTGGTTTTTAGAGCTTTCCCTGTGTTTTCAATTTCTTAAAGATACTTAGCCTAAAATAATCCTTATGCCAAAGAGACCCCTTTGGGGTGGCAAATTGTGTACATCATGAAAGGTAATCAAAATATAGTAAAATAAGCTTTGTTTTACTTCTAGAAGAGGAAAATTAGGACATAAATGTATAAAACATGTTTTATTTTGCCTGCTCTCTGGAACCAGGCTTCAATATCCTTAAAGGTTGACAGTTGGGTGCCACCCACCTTAATGTTAGGGCATTGAATTGTGTATTTCAGACCTTAGACTCTTGGATTTTAAAAGACTAGAGAACTAATCTAGCTTGCATTAGGAACATAAACTAATATGTATGTATACAATTTTCTTTTTGTACTTACCTTTTCTACCCTTCTCCCTTTTCTTTCAGTTTTTAGAAATACTGTGTCCTAGGATTAAATACTGAGTAGTAAAATGCACAGTGTTATGTGAGCACCTTTTGGTGCCTGAAAACAGTTCAGTTTCTATATTCATTTCAAGTACTGCTTTGAAGGTCCCTGTGTAGCTCTTTAATTTTAATTCATCAGTAAGGGGGTTTGGAGAACAGAAAGAAAGATCATGAAAGATGTAGAGAAACAACACACGAAGGCTTCCATTTTTAGAATTTTTAAAATCTGTTTCCTAATCCAGTATATTTGGCATTTGCCTCTTATTGCCCCCCCCTTTTTTAACACAATTGGCAGTAATGGGCAATACAATTGAGTATAACTTTTTCTTCAGAGAGAACACAAGTGAACAAAAATGTTATTCATTTACAGCAATAAAACATACATTAAAGTAACACATTTGGTTATACAAGTTAACATCTTAAGAGGAAGCTGCCACAAGTATGCATTTATGTGAGCCAATCTCTCATCTGAAGACATCCTAAGAATCTTCAGATGAGACATCTTCAGAAAAGGTCTGATTATATCTGGAATAACAGTTTAATTGAAAGAAATTACCTCGCAATGAAGTTTGCAGAGCTAAATGATCCAGAAGAATTGCTACATGAACCAGTGTTATACAAATGTGAAGTACGTTTATTTTCTGTCTAGCTAATACAAAAAGTTTAGATGTATAGCTCCTTTTGTATCATTTCTAAAAATATTTACTAAGTACCTACTGTGTGCAAGATATTTTTTTAGGTGCTTTGTCAAATACAAAGTTAAATACAAAATCAGGTGAGATAGATATATAATTCATTATAATACAAGGTATAGTGACATAAATGGAGTTTAAAACACTGTGTTCTATAGGTTAGCAGAGGAAGGAATGATTAAGTATTGGTATAATTATCACAGCCCATGGATTAAAAAAACACTTTTAATAAGATCTTGTTTAATACTATGAACCAAAATGACTCATTTAGTCATAAGAACTTGTTTATTAAAAATCTTAATTTTTCTGTTTCCATGTGTGGCTTTATGTGCTGTTTGGAGTGAGTGATACTTTTTAAATTTTGTTTTGGTTCACTTCAAGTTTTTATTTGAAATCCATTTAGTAAACATATAGTGTAATATTAGTTTCAGGAGTAGAATTTAGTGGTTGATTACTTATATGCAACACCCAGTGCTCATTACAACAAGTGCTCTCTTAAATACCAATCACCGATTTAGCCTGTCCGGACCCCCCTACCAGCAACCCTCCATTTGTTCTCTATAGTTAAGAGTCTGTTTTATGGTTTGCCTCTTTTTTTTTTTGACACCTATGTTCATCTGTATCATTTTGCAAATTCCATATGTGAGTAAAATCATACGGTATTTGTCTTTCTCTGATTTTGCTTAGCATAATCTACTCTAGTTCCATCTGTGTCATTGCAAATGACAAGATTTCATTCTTTATCGCTGGGTAATATTCCATTATATATGTTTTCCACAGCTTCTTTATCCATTCATCAGTCAGTAGGGCATTTGGGCTCTTCCCATAATTTGGTAATTGTTGATAATGCTGCTATAAACATCAGGGTGCATGTGTTCCTTCAAATCAGTATTTCTTATCCTTTGGGTAAATACCGAGTAGTGCAATTGCTAGGTCATAGGGTAGTAATATTTTTAACATTTTAAGGAAGCTCCATACTTTTTTCCAGAATGGCTCTACCAGTTTGCATTCCCACTAAAGTGTTATCAAGGGTTCCCCTTTCTCTGCATCCTCCCCAACATCTGTTGTTTCCTGTGTTAATTTTAGCCTTTCTGGCTAGTGTAAAGTGGTATCTCATTGTAATTTTGATTTGTAGTTCCCTAATGAGTGATGTTGAGCATCTTTTTATATGTTTATTAGCTGTCAGTATATCTTCTACGGAAAAATGTCTGTTTATGTCTTCTACCCATTTTTTGAGTTTGATAAGTTCTTTATAGATACTGGATACTAAACCTCCATCAGATATGTCATTTGCAAATATTTTAGAGTGAGAGGTAGTCTTAACACCCATGTGACAATTTTTTTCCTGCTATTTTTGGAATTAAAATGAATTTGTTTGAAAAGTAGTGGACTTATTTCACAAGTTGTATATCTGGAGGCTTCAAGGCTGCTCACTCTACTTTGGGTTTAATATAGCTTAAAACTTGGAATAGCTTTAAAAAGTATATCAAGTCAATTGATTTATTGTGAGTATCAGTGAGTATGTTTGTTAATTAATCAGAGTTGGCTTTCTGAGCTCTACCATCATAAGTCTGCCATGGAACATAAACTCAGAGAATTTGGATCAACAGAAAAACATACAGGTGTCCTAGATCCATAGAAGTTTCCATTTGAAAGTGACCTTGAAGTTGAGCTAATCTAACCCCTCAATTCAAAAAGATCGAGGACTAACATCAAAGGAATGTTAGGACATAGATCTAGTGGTCAGGATAATTTTGCAGAGATCTTTGATACTGACGTACTCATACTAGTATTTTTATTTCTTTGACGGATTTAAAACGATATGCCTTTTTACTATATTTCTGTCATTTTTTAAAGATTTTATTTATTTCTGAGAATACACAGAGAGGAGAGAGAGAAGCAAAGACACAGGCAGAGGCGCAAGCAGGCGCCATGCAAGGAGCCTGACGCGGAACTCGATCCCGGGTCTCCAGGATCAGGCCCCCGGCTGAAGGCGGCGCCAAACCGCTGAGCCACCCGGGCTGCCCTATTTCTGTCATTTTAACAATGATTGTTTGCTTCTATCTTTTTTCTGCTCTGGCTTTTCCTTAGTTAATGAGGTTGAATGTGATGCTTGATGGCAAAATGAAATCATTACTGACCATTCATGGAGCAAAAAAAAAATAAGGAGTTTGGGTTATTTATTTTAATGAAAAAAAATCTTTTTAAACAGATAATCAGAGTTTTGTCTGAGCCCCATTTTCTATTGTAAAACAGAATTATATGTATTAGTATTAGAAAGGGGTGGTGATTATGGTGTTTTGCATGATGTGTGTGGTTCAGAATGTACATACGTAATTATTGTGACTTTTGCCCTTTTTAAATGTAATTGGTATGAGAGAGAAGAATCTGATTTTTCTCATTTTCCAGTTCTCACTACAGTATAAATGTATCCTTTTTTGCGAGGACTGGGTGGCTCAGCTGTTGAGCGTCTGCCTTCAGCTCAGGGTGTGATCCCAGAGTCCTGGGATTGAGTCCCACATGGGGCTTCCTGCATGGAGCCTGCTTCTCTCTCTGCCTATGTCTCTGCCTCTCTCTCTCTGTCTCTCTCATGAATAAATGAAACCTTTAAAAAAATCCTTTTTTTTTTTGGTCACACACACAAAAAATCACTCTAATTTAATATTAGATACTATTCCCCATGTGGTGAACACAAACTTTTTATTTGTACTCAGTGTTAATAAGTCCAAATTTTAAAATAATATATGGATTTTTTATTGCAGGTACATGTTGGGACTTGCAGCAATTCCAGCAGTTATACAGTTTTTTGGCTTTCTCTTTTTACCTGAGAGTCCTCGGTGGCTGATTCAGAAAGGACAGACTCAGAAGGCTCGTAGAATTTTATCTCAGATGCGTGGTAACCAGACCATTGATGAGGAATATGATAGCATCAGAAACAACATTGAAGAAGAAGAAAAAGAGGTTGGCTCAGGTATGTGGATTTTGTACTTATATGAATTTTAAAACTACATAATGGTTTTATTTAGAAACTATATTATTTTGCTATTATTTAGCAACTCTAAATGATGTAACATTTTCATGTGTATAACCAAATCAAAATAAATATATTTTAATTTAGTTTTTGAAGTAATATAAGAATGTTATAAAAGAAAGAAAACCCATCCCCATAATACCACTATCCTCACATAATTACCATTTTTAGTTTTGTATAGTCTCTTTTATTCTTTCAAAATTGGATATATATGACATGGTTGTCATCATTTTTTGTGTAGGGGGTAATTTTTGAGTATAGACGTATTTTACAAATAAATATATATAAAGATAAACATATGCATTTTGACCTTCTGTATTACCAGAGAGCCTCATAGTGTGAACTGTTGTCAAAATAAATCGCTTTAGTAAAACTAAATACCATGTTTACACGTATTACATTAATTTTCATATCAGTTTTATAAAGAATAAGAATGCCTCTTGATCCTAGTTTTGGAATCATTTTGTATTTCCCTCTTTTCATTACAATGTTTAACTGATTGTCTAATCGCAATTTCACCATGTTGGAAAACCAAAAGAAGTTTCTAGTCCATTTAGATTGATGAATTTCTTTTCAGAGAAGAAATCAGGTAGGGTTTTGAAAAATCTCAAACAGGATCTCTAATCTTGAGAGATTTGGATAAGTGATTTGTAGGATGCATATGTTGTGAGGTAGACATTTTGTAATACATTTCTCAACAATAACCATTACACTGGTAGATTCATAGTTCCTAAAATTGTCTCATTTTCTCCCAGCCGTCCTTTTGCCCCTGTATTAATATTAATTGGTAACCCAAGTGGAAATGCTGACTTGTGTTAGTCAAATTATTTTTCATACTTGAGAAAATGAAAACACCCATACTCATGTATTGATATATGTCACACAAGTCTTGGAAGGTGTGTTCACTCACCTACTCTTGCTATAATTTTTGGTAGAGCTGAAGGTTGTGCTTTCCTGAAACAATAGAATAAACACTGTGCAGAAGCTGGTCACCATGTTGGCCACACCTGACTTAACAATTATTTATATGCAGTGCAGTAGTGCGGTGTTGTTATTTTCTTGCTCAGGTCAAAGCTCCAGTGAACTGTGAGCCAATTCTAGGTCAAGGTCATTTTTAACAAACAAGTTTGTGAGCATATACTATGTGCCTGGCACTGTAAGCATTTCCAGAATAAGCTATTAGTGCAAGTTTTAAAGAGAATTTTGCTTTAACGAAATAATTCGCTTTTACTGAGTTGAACATTGTGTTAATTTAAAAATACTATTTTAAATGTTCATTTAAATTACAAATAAATTCATTTATGTTCCTGTCTGAATTTCTCTCAGCTGTGGCCCACATGAAATAAGATCTTGTTTTTTTGTAGTAATCAGAGTGCTTGAAGCCCATGTACTGACAATATATGAGTAAAAAAATTTTCAAGTTATTAGGTTATTTTAAATACTGTTCAGAACATAAATTTTTATCATCTAAAGGATAACAACTTAATTTAAAAAGCCTTCCTATTTAGGGGTAGGGATGCACTAATTCTACAAAGCATTGACCATGTAGCTTCATTTTGACTGCTGAAAACTTTGTCCAGCTGGTATAGCCATGCAGCTGTTGAGTGCACACTCTTTGAGTTTCATGGTTATTTGGAACGTATAACCAGATTTTTTGCTTAAGAAACTTAAGGTACTTAAGATTGTAATTATCTGTATCTCCTTTAGTTTTTACGAGAAATCTTTTGGAGCTAAATAGGGCACTTTTTCTTTGGTAAAGATAAAATACTGAGCTGTTTACTTATTTCCCGGTATTGCTCTATATACACATTTGGTTATTCATTGAATCCTAATAGCATTTGTCCTGTGCTTGGGTAAATATCTTAAACTTTGCAACTACTACTAGGATTTATAATTTCCCCATTTTAGATTAGTATTATTTGAGTACTATCATCTTGCTTAATTTTAAAATTAATCTCATGTTCTTTTTTAAAAGTATGGAATTAATAGCATTGCGGCATGAATTCACAAGGCAGATTTGCCAGTGTTAAATAGCAAGTAATTTGGGGGCCTCATTTTTATGATTGAGAAGTTTGACCAGGATAAAACCTATTCTGCACAAGTGTGAATTTTATTTCAGCATTGTCAGGTCCAGGAGCAAGACTCTGTGTCCATTTAGTTGGAAAACAGAGACCAGTGCTAGGGCTTGTCATAACAAACCAGCAGGGTCCTGGCCCTCAGCCACTTCTGCATTAAAAAATGATAGACTATGTGGACAAACATATATGAAAGAACAGCTAATTTCAAAGTAATAAAAATGCCCTGGCCCAGAGAAGACAAGTCAGCCATTATGTTGCAGGGTTAGAGAGTAGCCTGGGTTCTTCTGCCCATGGATCCTGACAAGGTAAATCTGGAGCTCCTATTTCCTGGGGACTCTGGGCAGTAAAGTGCAGCTGCCTGGAGGGGGGAGCTTTGGCCTAGCCACTGCAAAATACTTAAGATCTTTCAGGGGATTGGAAAGAAGTTGTGTGTGACCCCTGTTTCTTCTGGAGAGAAATGTTTTATTTTCAGACATGGTGGCTTAATTACCTGCCTGTAGGAGCTTAATAAGTAGATCTGATTCCACCTCAGTCCCCATGTCCTTCTCTGGGAGTTTGCAGTGGATTCGTAACTTATGACTGTTATGGTACTTGATTATGTGACCCTTCTCTCTTCGTAGGATTTTTTTATCTTAGTCACTAGAGTTTAAATTTGATTTCTTTGAGGAAAATAGGCATGGCAACCAAATTAGGTGTTAATTAAATTATTTTTTTGGAAGTGTGAAATAACCAGTGCAGGTGGGATTTACTTCTGGGTCAGACACGCTTTGTGACTTTCTGTAGTGAATATGCTGGTTGATCTGGTTGTGTCAGCAGCATAGGCGAGGCTCAGAGGCCACACTGTGGAATCGGATTGTATTGTATTGGTATTCCATGTCTTCTGCACATGGCAAAAAGGTCAACCTCCTTAACATGTGATTTCGGTGGGAAAAAGAAAAAAAAAGGGGTAACTGATGGGAAAGCAGCAAACAGTTGGTTTTCCCATTGTATTCAACACTATTTACACATCCTGCAGGACTAATAAAGTGAGACTGGAAGTAAGGACAGCTTGATTTGGAAAGCTCCCTGGAGTGGGAGACAGGGAAATGAAAGACCAGTCCTGGTTCCACCCCTAGTTTGTAATCCCAAAAAGATTTTCTGGGAGGTTCTGAATTTCAGATTCTTTTTAGGTTTGTAAGAAAGGAGAGCCAGAGTATCATAGCTCCAAAGTCTGATTTTTTTTTTTAGGGTTTTAAAAATCTGTGGGAAATGCTTCTTTTTAAATTTTCAAATACTATGCAGCAGCCTTTCATTCCAGAATACTGAGTGACACTCAATGGAGATGTGGCGGTAAATAAGATGAGGTTCTGGTCCATTCTGTTGGGAAGAAGCACAGGGATGATAAAGGGTAAATAATTACTGGAGAGCTACAAATGGTAGTAATGGTTTTAAAGGCAATACACAGGATAACAACATTGATAGAGGGACTGAAGGGGAAGAGTTAGGAAAGGCTTCTCTGAAGAGGTGAATGTAAAGGCTGTGAAAGAATCAAACTAGGGAACCGAAGGGTTTCCAAGCAGAGGAAACCACAAGTACAAAATTATGTGTATCACTATTTGGACCAGATTAATTTTCTTGGAAGTTTTGATAATGTTATGAAGTGTCCTTGTGCCAGATTTTTAAGGCATCGGTGTAAGGACTAATTATTCATCTTTATTTATGCCAGGTTGACAATCCTAAGCTTTGAATTTGTAGGGACACAATTACCACTTTTAGAATTAAAAACAAATTTGAGTACTAAATAATACGCATATAATTTCCATCATTTTGTTGCTTGCTTCTTGCAGATTATTGCCTTAGTTTATTTCATGCTGCATAGATGAGCACTAGCGATGTGACCTTTATTTACAACAGAGGTAGAAACCGGAGAGAGACCTAGGTAATTACTTAAGGCAGTGATTCTCAAACTTTTCCACTTGGCTTCAGAGGTAACTGTAGAGAGGCGGGCTTGTTGGGATATGTGTTCCATAGCAAAAGGCAACTGCAGTAAGCCCAACATTTACTTGAATTTTTATGCTTTATCCTATAAATTAATAAAAGTTAGTGTTCTGTTTCACAGTATACCTCTTTACTTTGAAAGTGTTTTTCCTAAATATCTAGAGTGTTTATTCATTAGCTTTTTGTGTTCCATCAGTCTCTCCTGTACATTCCCAGGAGATGCACTCCTCAGCTTGACAGACATGAACTTTTAAAGCATTTGGAGCCCTCCTCTCGGGCAAATGTATGAGGCAGGGTAGAAAGAGTTGGAGCTGCCTATGTTCTTAGAAGCAGATGGTCCTCTCTTAATTTACCAGGCATGTAGAAGAACAGGGAGTCTTTGTCAGGAGCTTTAGTTTATAACAGTAATTGTCTCATAACAAGAAAATTAAAGTTGGTCAACAGAAGAGACAATTCCTCTACAGACAGTCTTAGGAAAGAATCTAGAAATATGTGTATTCATATGCTTAGTGCCACCTCCTTTGAAAGAACTCTCTGATGACTTCTTCAGTTTTCTTTTTTTAATTGATACACAGATGACATACGTTATATGAGTTTCAGTGTGTGACATAATGATTCAGTATATGTATATATTGCAAAACGATCACCACAGTAAATCTCCTTAACGTGCATCATCACACATAGTTAAATTTTTTTTCCTTGAAGTCTTCAATTTCTTATCCTGCACTGGAGAACAGAAATAGATTCTTGGGTGAGGTGGAAGGAAAGTAAAGACTCTACTGCCCACAGGCCCAAGCAGAAGCCCTATAGGTGGGGCTTAAGGAAAGTCTCCTATGTTCTGTCACATCGTTGCTGTCACTCCCTTCTCTGCTCTGCCCTGAGATG